GTATCTTCAGCTTTCGATTTTCCCATTGTTAATGAATCACCCTGTATAATCACCAAGTTGTACAACAAAAGTTTGTGCAAATTGTTTGATCGTGTATGGGGCCTATTAAAGTACAATCCTTCCCCTTCCCAAGCGAATTTTAAATCGTCCAAATATCTTCTTTTTTTCAGCGAGTTATGATGATTTGAAGATAGCTAGACAGTTATAGACAGTAACCTGCGACGCTATAACCGCCGACACTTAAACCCCAATTTCTTTAACCCTCGAGCCTTGTAACCTGCCACGATATAACCCTCGACTCTTACACCCCGATTTTGAAGGTTACATAGCTCAAGGGCACAGGAAATCAGACGATTCAAAATTCGCTTGGGAAGAGAAAGGATTGTACCTACGTGAAGATGCTATTCTGTTTTGTAAAAAAAAAAATTATTAAACGATATTATATAACCTCAAATATGTGTAAAAATCGCGTTTTTGCACTTTTCGGTTAGGATATCTCAAAAACCTTAGGCGATTGAGCCAGTGGCGGCTCGTGACATTGAGAATGGGTGAAGCATATTCATCGATTGACTAAAAAGAAAAAAAAACAAAAAGCGCCGCAGGCTAAAATTTTCAAGGTCAAACGGCTTTCAGTGAATATGTAAATTTTTAGTTGCATTTGCAATAGTACCGAAAAACTGACGTTCGCGAGAATTTTCATGTAGATTTTATAATAAATAGAAATATTAGTTCGTCTCGTGGACTTTTGCGAATAATAACGCACACCGTATGTACAGGGTCGGAAAGTACCGATGGTCCATCTGCCGTTACGTGAGAGCGATAAAGTAAGTCATAGAAATCCGTGCGATAGTGGATCTTATTGTGGAAGGGCGAAATGGGCGGTGACTATTACACGACTACATTATAGCCATCTTTCTCTATCGCACGGATTTCTACGGGCGGTGACTATGAGACGCCTTCATTATAGCCATCCTTCTCTATCGCATGGATTTCTATGTCTTACTTTATCGCTCTCACGTAACGGCAGATGGACCATTGGTACTTTCCGAACCTGTATGTTCCAAAGAAGTTTCGTGGTTACGACAGCCTCGCGTGACGTTCCCAAAAGTGTTAAATCCCTCCTTATTCCACACGCCCGACTTTACACCCACACGACACGACATACAGAAAAGTTTTTTTAAATAAACACTTCCACACAACCACTTATACTCCACGTACCATTCATTCCAAAACTTCCGAACGTACACTTTGTCTTTTGACTTCCCCCTTTTTTCCATATCGAGAGAAGGCATAGGTCGTCTTCTAGAATCATTGATACAAAACAAATATTAACAAAGAACCGTTATAATCGTGCACTGGGCGACGTATTGTATAAACTGTTTAAAGCACAAAACATATAAAAAAATTAAAGGCAGGCGATGGGCGATGACAGTGCTGCTTCAATTTCCGCGTCACTCGTTCCCCCACGCCGCCGCCGTAGTTTACTCGCGGCGGCTGCCTCGTTGCCATGACAACCGCCGTAAACAACGCTACGTACAGACTGTTTCAATGCGCGTCACTTGCTTATACTATACGTTGTATGGTATATACGAGGCTGATGTTCGCGCTCAGCGAAGGCAATGTTTTCTTAGAAGGCGTTTACCGCGCGACTATTCTGTTTATTTCTGCGTATAAAACAAACGCAATACATTTTCAATATAGAATTATACCTAAATTATAAAATTTATATAAAATTAAAAATAATTTACACAACCAAACGAAAATTTTACCTGAAGCGGTGCGTCACTTGCGTCACCTGGCGAGCCGCCACTGGATTGAGCATTTCTGAGGCCAGATTCGGTTTCAGCGAGCCAAAATCTTCGCGAAATGACTTCGTCCTGAATCCACACGAATCATGTCGACCAGTGAATGAAAGGTACCTACTTATTTTTAAACAGTGATTAGAAATCAGTCGGAAAAGGAGAAAGGTTAACAATTTTGCCTTTTTCTAAATTTTTATTGGTACTAAATAGCTAATTTAACAATTTTTTTACAACAGTTTCAAAACTATATTCATTTTCCACTGCAAATTTTGAAATTATTCAAAACATCTTTTTACAAGTATATACACAACCATAATAGTCAGAAATTGAAAAAAAAAAACATGCAATTTGTAGCTTATTTGGAAAGAAAAACCATAATTTCATAAATTACGTAGGTACTACTGAAACATATTGCATTTTATTTTTGCAAATTTTGTCACAGTAATTTATTGAAAAGTTCCTCACGTATTTCTATTAATCTTTGCGTATGAATTATATTACCGATTACAATTAATATACAGAGCGTTTCTAAATTATGATGCCAAACTGAAAAAACAGAGATAGTCATCATTGTCAACAGTTGCATTAATCTCATGGCGAAGTAATTGTTCTTTCATAACTGACAGTACCAGAAGTGCAAGAAGTATTTGGAATTTTTTTTATCAAAAACAAAATATTCGCAGCATTTTTGGTAAAATAATACATTTTTCTGAACGAACAGAAAAAATTGCTCTTGTTGGATATAGATAATTTCCACACTTTTTGAGAAAATTGGTTAAAAATATCTAACAAACGGGCTTTTGGCTTTTCAGAGAGATGTATTATTTTACACAAAATATTTTTTTTTGTACAAACCCCCATTCGCATCCAACACCTCTGCTAGTGTGTTTGAGGCAAAATCTATTTCTCCAGAAATTATTATAGGTAATCTACATACACCTGCAAAATTGAAGGGATATTTGAAAAAAAAAGGGATTTTGTCACAGCACATTTATCTCCCTACAGCTTTTTGACTTAACCTTTTTGAATCTACGTTCATAGAGAACTTTTTGTTTAAGATTATGTTTCTATCTGCTGCCTCAGTTTGCACCACATTTTAGACACACCCTATACAGGGTGATTCAGGTTATATTCGTGAAACTTCACCGGGTTATATAAAACAAATTATTTTAAGCAAAAGGTTTTATATGAACATGAGCCACAGCTCACTTCATTTTCAAGATGTTGAAATTGGAAATTAGTTAATTTTTTCTGAAATATCTGAGGATGTTTGATATACACAGACGAAACTTGACCACCGATTTATTTAATTAGAAGTCAAAATTCGCCGGGTTGACTTACAAATATGTCGATCACAGGCAAAGATATTGTGGCTCCACATTACTAAGAGCCTCAGAATTATGCTACCGATTCATCTACAAATTCGATCGGCACTTTTCAGTATGTCATTTCTAAAAAAATGTTTTCTATTTTGTTCCAATTAGAATTTTGATTTTTTATTTTCAACAGTAAATGAATTAAAAGTAGCTCTACAATTATGTATTACACATATTTCGAAAAGGTTTTTCAAACTTTTTTGTTAGAAATATTATTTAAAATACAACTCAATGTGTTCAATTAACAAGAAACCATATCATTGGCAAGAAATGTTTAATTCGGTTTTATAAAGTTACAAGTTGAAAAAAATATATAGGATGTTTATTTAGTACTTTTACAAACTTCGAGGGGTGAATCTTTGAGTGATTCTAAGACGAAAAGTTTATATAAACATAGGTCTGGTAATGCTTCGTTTTCAAGGTACAGGGTGTCAAACTTTTTTTAAAAAATTGTTTTTTCGTAAAAATCTCGATAATCCTCTAGCCGATTTTGTAGAAATTTGGCAGTTACAGTAGGAAGGGGTTAATTTAGCCCTAACTAAAATGATTAAGTCCAGTAGCGTCCAGTGAAGCACCTTAACTAATATTTTTGACAAAAAAAAATGCGCGCCACTGACTTTTTAAAACCTTTTATATATTTTACCTACGACCACTACTGTAAATACTTAAAAACACACCTTCTGCGATCAATGAAAGATTCCTATTACGTACGGTAAAAAAATCGCACAGCTTGATAAAAAAATTGTAGTTTTTCTAACAACCGCCTAGCAATGGTCAATACAATACTGTTTGTATTGACAATACAATCTGGCGGTAAAAGGAGGCAATTGGGAATTTTGGTAAGATTGATGAGACCCATCACACATCAAAAACCCAGACGATTTAACTGAAATCCGTATCATCATATAGTGTTTCGTTCTGACGGGGTTAAGCGCCCTCTAGAAGTAAAAAGAGGCGTTACGGGGGGTTGTGGCTATTGGGAATTTTAGTTAGATTGATAAGACCTATCTCATATCAAAAATTGAGACGATTTCACTGAAAGCCATTTTCCATAAGATTATGGCGGGATCCTTTCAACAAAATTGACTAAAGGATTATGAAGATTTTTAAGAAAAAACGATTTTTTTAAAAAGATTGTCACCCTGCATCTTGAAAACGAAGCATTACCGGATCTATGTTTATATAAACTTTTCGTCTTAGAATCACTCAAAGCATCACCCCTTAAAGTTTGTACAAGTACTTAATAAACACCCTGTATATTTAAGCTAATGATTTTTTGGGATTACAGTGTGTAGGTAATTGTATTTCTGACAAAAAATTCAAATTAACTGTTCTTTTTCGATTTAATCTTTATCTTTAATTCCGTTTTAAAATTAAAAAATCACAATTTAAAACCGTTCGTCTGGAGAAAATGGAAGAGGTGCCATTTTTCTTTAATTTGAACACAAATAATTAAGCATTTTGCGACCGACGTTCATACGAAACTTTTTGCTTGAGTTAGTTAATTCCGTCCCCTGGTAAAGTTCCCTGATTAAAACATGGACCGCCCTGTATAATAAAACGACAAACATAAAGTAATTATTGTGTTTAATCATACTAATAAAATTAACAAATCAAATTAACAAGCATAAATTGTGTTTCTACTAAAAAGTCTTAATCGTAATAGACGTAAAGACGAATAAATAAGATACAATATTTACTGACCCTTTTTGAAGTTTCTAATACAACATACCAAAATAAATGTAACAAAAGACTAACATGTACGTTTTACGTTGTATGCTTTTCTTACACAGGAAAATTTCACGAACGAAAAAAGTCGTGGTCTCTAGCAGAAGCAACCATAGAAAAAACTACGAAATATAAGAATTTTAGTAATTGCACCAATCTTTGGGAAATCACCATGTTCATCTACTGCACTAACAGTCAGTGAAATCTTATAATTTTAAATATCCTAAATTAAAACATTAATATTATTTATCTAGAACAACTAAATCCTAAAAATAGGATATACTTACATGCTACTTTATGAAAAATATAAAAAAATATTTTTTGAATTACCAATTAGTTGTTACAGTGGATTGATCAACGTCTGTTTTGAATTTTGCACTTTTTACTATAATAAAATTCATTTGTACCACAACATTTATGATTCAAAATAATGACACTATTCTCGATTATTCGGCTGTGCCCCCGTTTATCTGGGAAAAGTTCTTTTGACACTCCGAACTTATCCAATGCTCGACCAATACCTTGGTCTCTGAATTTATAGCAGCTTCTGTCGTTTGTACTAGATGCCTACGTAATTGTTTCTTAGTTGCCACTAAACTCTGTAACAAAATTATAACATAATAGGCCAATCAATTAAGGTTTTGTTTTAGGCTATTGAATATAGGATTTTAAAAGGAACTAGTTCAAGATATTTTATTACATGAATCGTTCAAATGGTCATTTTAGATGAAGAAACCGCGGAGTGCTATTAAATAAGAGGGTGGAAATTGGAGATAGGGTTGAAAATGCACCCTTTTCAGTTTTTTAATTGTAGCTCGGAAACGAAGCAAAATTCCACTATAGTTCATAGGAAAAATTGTTTAGAGAATTGAATTTCCCATAGAAATAGCTTATTTAAAAAATTTAAAAAAGGAAAATTTTATACTAAAAAATTGTTAATAGAAAAAAAAATAGATACAATTTCCTTTAAAACAAGAGGTTGTAAAGTATTTTTGAATGAAAATTGACTGATATATGGCCACTCAAACCAATTTTTCGATTTTCGTTGCGTTTACCCTTATACGTTTTAATTCTCATTTTTTGCAAAAAAGGAAGGAAATAAGACATTCAAGGATTTTCACATTACTTGTTCGAAGGGTCATTAAAAATGAAAACACGGCAGAGTACTATTAAATTAGAAATTGATATTGAAGATACGGGTGAAAATGCACTTTTGCAGTTTTTTAAATATAGCACGAAAACGAAACAAAATTTCGGTATAGTTCATAGGAGAAATTGTGTAGAGAATTGAATTTCTCATCGAAATAGCTTATTTAAAAAATGTAAAAGGAAATTTTTCTGCTAAAAATCGTTAATAAACAATTTTAAAGAAGGCAAAAATAAGATTTTTTGATTTTTTTTTACTTTTTAATAAAATAGTTTAGTAGAAACTTGAGAATTTAAGTACAATATCAATTTAAGTTTATTATTAATGTATATACATTGTGTCCACGGATGAAGTTGACAAGAGGAGAAAGTCTTTTGTTTTTGACTTTATCGAAAAATGTCACCCTTTGTAAAAAGTTCTGCCCTTCGAAAAAATGAGATTGTCATACAAATATCTTAAATTAGATATACAGGGTAGAAGTACCATTATTTATTATTTTACACAACATTTTTATAAAACAAATCTGTTTATAACCTCAAATAATATCCTAATACAAATTTTAAAATCAAAATTTCAATTTTTGAGGTAGGAAGTAGCTATACATATCGAGTAAGAATTGAAATGTTTATTTTAAAATTTGTATTAGGACATTACTTGAGGTTATAAACAGAAGTGTAAAAAATTTAAAAATCTTATTTTTTCCTTTCTTTAAAATTGTTTATTAACGATTTTTAGCATAAAATTTTCCTTTTACATATTTTAAATAAGCCACTTCGATGAGAAATTCAATTCCCTACAAAATTTTTCCTATGAACTATACCGAAATTTTGCTTCGTATTCTTGCTATATTTAAAAAACTGTAAAAGTGCTTTTCACCCCTATCTTCAATTTCAACCCTCTAATTTAATAGTACCCCGCCGTGTTTTCATTTTTAATGACCCTTCGAACAAGTAATGTGGTGAAAATCCTTGTACATCTTATTTCCTTCCTTTTTTGCAAAAAAATGAAAATTAAAACGTATAAGGGTAAACGCGACAAAAATCGAAAAATTGGCTAAGTTTGAGCGGCCACATATCAGTCAATTTTCATCCAAAAATATTTTACAACCTCTTGTTTTGAAGGAAATTTTATCTACTTTTTTTTCTATGAAGCAATGCCTATACCTATCTTTACTCAAAAAAAAAAAACTAGAGGCAAAAAAGTAAAAAAAATCAGAAAATCTAATTTTTTTTCAAATTGTTTATTAACGATTTTTTCCATAACATTTTCCTTTTAAATTTTTTAAATAAGCTATTTCGATGGGAAATTCAATTCTCTAAATAATTTTTCCTATGAACTATAGCGAATTTTGCTTCGTTTTCCAGCTACAATGAAAAAACTGAACGGGGTGCATTTCCCTATCTCAAATTTCCACCCTATAATTTAAAGTACTCTGCGGTGTTTTCATCTAAAATGACCATTTGAACCATACAATAAAATTGCTTGAACATCATAGTTCCTTTTAACCCTGTTTTTTGGATGTAATCAATAGCCTATTTGTGACAAAAATACTAGTAGCAAACGGAAGATGCCTTCATAATGAACGCTGGGCAAAATACTTTTAAAATGTATTTAAAATACAAATTACAAAATACTAATACAAAAGTATTTTAAAATACTCAAGAACAAAATACTTCTTTGACAAAGTATTTTAAATATAAATTACTTCAGTATTTAAAATAGTATTTTTAAGTATGTTAAATATTAAATACAGACTGTTACAAATTCGCTTCTCACTACAGGGATCTCGGAAACGATAAGAGATATGAAATAGCTTAAATGAGGACAAAGTTGCGTAATCAACATTACACCTCTAAAAAATCAAAGCTAACATGATTAGTTTCCGAAATATTTGCAAAAAAACGAAGTTTTGGAAATCCAGAAGATGAATTTTTCGCGACAAAATGTCTTAATCTGGTTTGGTCTGAGGCAGTACGGTATTGGGCTTGCAAAAAATGTAATAAAACTTCCATTTAAAAAATGAAATTGATGATGGCTCTGGAGAGAGAAAACGTTATATATAAAAATTGATCATACCATTCGATAGAGGGTAAAAAGTTGCCTCAAGAAAGTGTTCTTTTTTCAATATCACCTCAATGCTGAAATGAAACAAAAATTTCCAGAATTTCGGTTTTTTCAATTATTTCGGAAACTAATCATGTTAACCTTGATTTTTTAGAGGCATAATGTTGGTCCCCTGATTATACAACTTATTTGCCCCCATTTAAGCTAGTTCGTATCTCTTACCGTTTCCGAGATCCCTGTAGTGAGAAGTGAACATTGTAACACCCTGTATATTGAAAATATTCATACCAGTATTTAAAATATTTTTGTGAAATATTAAAACTGGAACTGTTAAGATGTGACTTAAAAAAATATAATGTATGTGCAAGGCAAGCCCGATTTCAAGATCATCAAAAAATTTAAAAAAAATAAAATCTGGACACGAGTCTGGAAACAATAATTGTCATTTGGATTACTAAGATGCAGAATATTTAATTCACTCAAAATTTTTCATTAGTTTTTCTTAGAATAGCCCATTAACGATAAAATAAGTTAATTTTAAATTTTGATGATTGACTACTGACTTGACTAGTAATGATAGTGACCTAAAAGGTAGTAGAAAGAATAATAATAACATAACACATTGCAGAATGCAGAGTAGAATGCGCTAAATCCAGGCGTGCAGGTGGGTAATTTTTCTTAGCGCGTGTTGTACCAGTCGTAACAGGCAAAAAGTATTTGGTTTTGGTAGATGTTTTGGGTATTTTAAATACTTCGAGTAATTTAAATACTCAAGAGTATTTAAATTACTCTTAGAAGATTTTAAATACTTTTTTAAAATACAAAATACAAAATACTTCATTAAAGTATGTGAAATACAAAATATATTTGGGGTTATAACAAAAGTATTTTAATTACAAAATACAAAATAGTATTTTATATTTAAAATACTATTTGGTATTTGTTTTGTCAAAATATTCCCAGCTTTACATCATATAAAAGACAGTCTGTATATACATATATGCTTATATGTTTGCTACTCCAATTTCCCACTTATTAATTTTTTATAAACATTTTTATGTAAAAAAACGCGTTTTTTTAGATTTTTACTTATAAAACCTAAACCAACAAAGCAATCTGAATGCTATGAAGAGACAATTTGTAGAGAACCGAAATACGAATAAAACGATCGGATAATTAGAAATGAAAGAAAACCCGGAAAAATTGGAAACTTCAGCGTTTTTTTAATTACTCCGCCATTTTTTAAGTTGTAGAGCTGACCCTGTGCACGAAAGTAGTGAATTATATGTACTTTAAGTGTGCACAAAGCAGGCGCTGTGGGACCATTAGCTTTGGCATAATTGCAATTTGAATTTTTTGAAATTGAAAACCGGAAATGTCCACAGGTTTCACATCATTGTGATTCCGTGTATTCTTACCACTCTCTCACTGCATGCTTAAGTAAAGCAGCTTAAGTTCGGTGTAAAAAGCAGCTGCTTCAGGTTGTTGACAATATGATAAATTGTATATCTATATACAGGGTCTGTCCTTAAAGTAGTTGGACTGATTTTTTCCAGGGCAGGCGGACGGACTGCCGGAGATTTCTACCCCTGGTGTTGGTGAAGGGGGGGTCTAAGGAAAGGCTGGAAGCCAGCGGCAGTCAACTCCCAGCCATAGTGGAGTGTAGATTGCTCATCTCCGTAACCTGCGCAAGTGGCCTCGTCACGCTGCGCCATCGCTCATCTTTTGGAACAGCGCTACGCCATCGAATTTTGCGTTAAGCTCGGCGAAACCGGTAAAGAGACTCATGATATGATCAAGACGGCTTACGGTGATAACGCCATGGGTAGATCGAGTGGTTTCGACTGACACAAGGTGTTTCGCGAGGGGAGAGAGGAAGTTCAAGACGATGCACGTTCAGGACGACCTTCAAGCTCCAAAACTGACGAAAATGTGGCAAGAGTGAAGAATTTGCTGGACAGTGACCACAGATTGACTGTTCGCATGATTGCCGCGATAAACTTGGCATCGCCAAAACCCAAGTGCACGAAATTGTGAGCGAAAAATTGCAAATGAGGAAGATCTGCGAGAAGTTGGTGCCACGAGTGCTGAGAGGCGAGCAAAAGGGAGTTCGCAAACGGATCTGCCAGGATCTTCTTGACGAAGTAATTGAAAATCCAAACTTTTTAAACAATGTGGTTACTGGGGACGAGACGTGGACGTTTGAACATGACCCCGAAACCAAACGTCAAAGCGCGGAATGGCACACTTCAACGTCCCCACGCCAGAAAAAGGCGCGCATGAGTAAGTCGAAGCAGAAAAGCATGCTCATTTGCTTTTTCAATTCAAAAAGAATAATCCACAGGGAATTTGTGCCATGAGGAAAAACCGTTAATGCAGTTTTGTACGTGAAGGTCCTTAAACAGCTGAGAAAACGCATAGTCCGCGTCCGCCCAGCCATTGCCAACTGCTGGCAGCTCCATCACGAAAATGCGCCGAGCCACACAGCCTTCCGCGTGGCGGCGTACCTGGCTCAACACAATATCGCAACCCTGCCTCAGTCACCCTACAGTCCCGACGTTGCCCCACAAGGCTTTTTCCTCTTCCCCTGCCTCAAAACCATACTGAAAAGACACCAACACGGCTCGGTGGAAACGTTAAAACAATATTGAGCACATGTATTATTTCTGTCAATAAACGTTTCATAATTGACTCTCTGTAATTGACTCAGTCCGACTGCTTTAAGGACAGACCTTGTATCCACTGCCCCTCATCTCCCGATCTTTCCCCCCTACACGACGCGTACGCGCGTTTGCCGTTTTTGAACATGTTTGGAGAAATTTCTCACCTATTTTGCATCATTTTATAGGAAAATTAGAATATACATTTTGTAGTATTATACAGGGTTATCCATTTTGAGCTTGGGATAGTAAAGCCCTGCCAATTGATATTTGTCAAATTTCACTATCATCCAGACCGGTATTTGTTTAGTTAAAGGATTGCCATTTCACAATATGGAACGTTTTACGACCAAACAAGCTCTTCGGTGGCTGTATTTCGCGCATTACGCGATGATTTTGATTGACATAATCGTCCATCCCAGCAAACAACCACCAATACAGTGAGAAAATTCCAAGAGACTGATTCGGTAACAGACATCGTAAGACCTGTGCATCATCGTTTGCCCGTTCAACCGAAAACATAGCTGCTGTGAGTGAAAGTGTTAACGATGACCCGAATCTTTCGACTCCAAGTCGCATTGGGGCCTGTCATACGGCACATTGTGGCACATTTTGCATTTGGACTTGCATCTTCATCCGTATAAAGTTCTCCCGTAAGAACTCAAGCCGGCTGATCATAGATTGCGCCGTGAGTACACCAATTGGGTGTTAGAACAACAGACCACCGACCTGATTTTTCGAGGAAAATCTTCTTCAATGATGAAGCCCATTTCACGCTCGGCTGCTATGTTAATAAGCAAAATTTCCAAATCTTGGGTAGTGAGCAGCCACAAGTGACCGCTGAGAAACCATTGGACCCGCAGAAAGTGACTGTTTGGTGTGCACGGCGTCGTCAAGCTGTACTTCTTCGAGAACGACGAAGAAGCCACCATTACCGTCAATTCTCAGCGGTATGCCGCAATGATCATCGACTTTTTTTGGCCTGAAATTGAAGATTTTGACCTGGACGATACGTGATTTCAACAAAATGGGGCCACATACTACACAACGCAGCCAATTATGGCTCTATTGCACGAGAAATTCCCAGTACGCGTAATTTCGAAATTCGGCGATGTGGCTTGGCCACCAAAATCCTACGATTTAACGCCTTTGGATTTATTTTTGTGAGGCTATGCGAAAGACCGTGGTTTGGCGAACAATCCCACAACTTTGGAGTAATTGAAGAACGAGATACGTCAAGTTATGCCCGAATTGTGTGAAAAAGTCTTCGAAAATTACCTCAAAAAGATTGAGTCCTGCAAACGGTTCCGTGGAGGACATTTGAATTATATTGTTTTTCACGCATAATGGCATAGTCCAAACTTTATTATGAAATAAAAGTTCCATCGAAATTTAAATATTCAATGTGTTTTTTAAACTTTACTTTCCCAAGGAGAAAATGGATAACCCATTACTTCTACATTCATAGCCCTCATATCCGTCACCCACGAGACCAGAGATAATCCGAGGAACAACAAAAAATAAATAAAAACTCACATAAACGAGTATTTATGTACATACATAAGTAAATGTACATGTTTATTGAAAAAAATGTATGGGTAAACAGAAATATGACGGATATCCCGAGGAGTCGGATATTCCGAGATTCCGACCTGGAGGATGTGAGGGGTTCTACCGTACTTTTAAAATCTGGCTGAAAAATTAAAATTGTACCACCTCTAACGCAGACAGAAATTTTACAAAATAGTACACCAAAAAATTCAAATTGCAATTGTGCCAAAGCAAATGGTCCGACAGCGTCTGATTTGTGCCGTACAACTTAAAAAATGGCAGAGTAATGAATTTTTTAAAAAACCTAAAATTTTCCGATTTTTACAGGTTTTCTTCTTTCTAATTATCCGATCGGATCGATCGACCTCTCATTTTAATTGTATTTCTGTTCTCTACAAATTGTCTGTTTATAACATTCAGATTGCTTCATTAGTTTAGGTTTTATAAGCAAAAAACAAACAAAAAATGTTTTTTTGTATAAAAATTGAGGTAGTACAGACTATCTTTTATATGATGGCACAGTCCGTTTGCTAATAGTATTTTTGTCACAAAATCACTGATTTAATGCTTTATTGATTGGCCTATAATAGTAGGTACGAGGATTGCCTTGTACATTTTGGGAATAGAGAACAAAAAAAGAAATTAATTATCGTATATAGCTGTATTGTTTTTAAAAATTTTCTCCATGAAGATCAATCAATACACTTTTGCATGCACTTGAACCAATTATCAAAGCACTTTTTTCCATTCCGATTCAGGTACCTCCAAAACATGCATTTTGAACGCATCAACTGCTTCATCATGCGTTGGAAAACTTTGACCTGATAATTTATTTTTGACGTGTGGGAATAAAAAAGTCATTGGGTGCCAAATCAGGGCCGTATGGCAGATGACTCATCAATTCGACTTTTTCAGTTACTTTGTTTGAGCCGATGTGTGAGAGCTCGCATTGCCCTGGTAAAGAATAATGCATGGTCAGCAGTTGGTTGCCCTTATTTTTTTGAGAACTTCTGGCAAACAAACAGTTATGTACCATTCATTCGGAATTGATTGTCTGACGTTGCACTAAAGGTACTGTTACAAGCCCTGTTTTTTCAAAAAAACAGGCGACGATTTGCTTAGAAATACTTCGTGCGGAAACAACTTTTGTTGGATTTAGCTCAAGTTGAGAGACCACATGCTCACAAGCATAGATCCATGATTCGTCATTTGTTATGATGTCATAGACATTTATTCAAACACGCGAATGTATTTCTTGAGCATTTCTTTCGACCAATCGACATGAGCCTTTTCTTGAGCATTTGTCAAATTATGTGAGAACTAAAGCGAACAAATTTTTTTGGCAGCATAATGTTCATGTAAAATTAAATATATACTGGTCCCACATATGTCCAAGGATGCCTCAATCTCATGATAAGTGAACAACCGATATTGGACAACCTTCAAGAAATTCGTCAAAGAGCGAATCACTGACACGGCTGAATTTCATATACCACCGATTGGTTTTTGGTGGTGCTTCATCGCCAAAAGTCGAATTAAGTTCATCAATGCACTGTTGTTGAGATAATCCACTGTAAACAACACAAGTAGCGTCTGTATGTTAAAAGTTCTGAGTAAGCATACCGGCAAAAAGTCAAATTGTCTATTCCCGAAATATAAAAGGCAACCCTCATTTGTAAAAAGAGCAATATTTAAATAGAAATAACATTATATTTTTAAAGAAAATAATAATACCTGTTTTGAGCCTCTTGATATTGAAATCATAACTTGTTTTAACGTTTCGTTATACTTTTCGGGCCAACACAGTCTCGTGACTAAACCACGTCGGAAGACATCATCAGCTGTTAGTTTATGTGTATTATACAATAGTTCAGATGCCTAAAAAATTGTACTGATTAGTAATAACACATACATAAGGTTTCAAATATAATCTAATGCACAAATATTTCAAAGAGCTGCACTTAAATAAGAAAAAGGTTAAAATGGTGTAAACAGATCCTCTATGTTATTATCAAAACTACAGTAAAATAACACTACCACAAACAGCACAAGAGTGACATTAAAATAAAATAAATATACTTAAATATTAAATACTAAATTAAAAACGAATCAAAGAACAACAAAACTAACTCTAGCGTGAGAAAGTTCGGTAAAGTTGTCATGAATAAGTGTTTCTTCTATTTGCTCTAGATCAGAAAAATAAAATAAAATAGAAAATTGAAAAATTTGGTTTTTACAAAATATCTAATTCTTAAAAAAGACCACTAACTGTTCTCTTATGGCAGTTCTTTTTTAATTCGGCCACCCTGTATCTTTCACTATTTTCAATATCTACAGACATACAGGGTGTCACACCGGGAACTGCATCAATCGATATCTAGGAAAGTACTGCTCCCAAATATGTGAAAATTTGGCAGCATGGCAATGTCCCTGGGGTGAACAGAACTAAAATATCCAAAATTCTCCAGTACCAACTTCGTTATTTTAAATGGGACACCCTATATATTATTGTATTTTCGGATTCTACGTGAAATTTGAGAATCACTTTATTGAATATTCCCTATACCTAGGAGTTATAGAATTTGACATATTAATATTTAAAGAAAACATTTTACAGATGCAAGGGTCCGCGGAGATGCTAGGAACTCTTTTCCGGAGCGTGATATCAAGTGAATTTTTGGTGTCTGCAAAGGACATCAGTAACAAATTATGGTATACCAACAAATTAAAACATTTAATAGTAGGTATTTCATTTTTGCTGTTACATTTTGATAACTTCAAACAGTTATAACTTTGTTAACTTAAATGGAACACCCTGCTGTGTCGTATGCAGATTGGAATTTCCTTTCAAGCCATATAAGCATTGTTAGGGTTGCCGTTACTACTTTTAGAGATATTTGCAATTTTCTATTTTTTGGACACTTTTTCTCATATCAGACCTGTTGTCAAATTGGCCATGATCAGAAACACTCCAAAAACAATTGAAATAACTTGACATTCGTCAAGTTAGTTGTCAAATTATTGTTGTGTCTTAAGTCTTTGCTGAAAATTTAAATAAAAATGCCTGGAGATCGTTTAAATTATACTAATGAGAATTAATTTAATTTGTTTGTTATTTATGGAAAAAAGTAGTGAATTCTCCACGTTCTTAAAATTACTTCACATTTTCTATCCATAAATAAGAAACAAAATAAAATAATCCTCATTAGTATAATTTACACAATCCGCAGTCATTTTTATTTACATTTTGGGCAAAAACTATTCAGACACAATAATTTGACAACTTACTTGTCAAGTTATATCAATTGTTTTTGTGGTGTTTCTGGTAATGGACAATTTGACATCAGGTCTGTGACGAGAAAAACTCTCCAAAAAATAGAAAATTGCAAATATTTCTAAAAGTAGTAAGGGCAACCCTAACAATGCTTGAACAATAGCTTGAAAGGAAATGTCAATCTGCAGAGTAAGAAAATACAAGGTGTTCCATTTAAGTTAACAAAGTTATAGGTGTTTGAAGTTATCAAAATGTAACAGCAAAAATGAAACACCCACTATTAAATGTTTTAATTTATTGGTATACTATAATTTAGTGTTATTTATGCCCTTTTGCAGAAACCAAAAATTCACTTGATATCACGCTCCAGAAAAGAGTTACTAGCATCTCCGCAGACCCTTGCATCTGTCAAATTTTTTCTTTAAATATTAATATCTCAAATTCTAGAACTCCTAAGTATAAGAAATATGTAATAAAGTGACCCTCAAATTTCATGTAGAATCCGAAAATGCAATAATATATAGGGTGTCCCGTTTAAAATGACGAAGTTGGTGTCGACTTCCGGTATAACCGGAGGCGCTGGAGTTCTAGATATTTTAGTTGTGTTTGCCCCAGGGACATTTCCGTGTTGCCAAATTTTCTAATTTTTCGGAGCAGTACTTTCCTAGATATCGATTGACGCAGTTCCCGATGGAACACCCTGTATATCCTTATCTTGGACACACTGTATTCTAAAATATTTATACATTACTTACTAATCCATGATTGGTGAAGATAGGTGGAGACAGTAGGAATCCAGCCTCTGCCACGCAACCTAAGCTTGCATAAGGTGTGCTGAAGGTAGCTGTATCACTTGCAATAACCATATCAAATAACGGAAGCATGGTAACACCCAATCCAGCACATTCCCCCTGTATTCCGGCAATCAACACTTTAGGGAATTTTAAGAGGCAAAGAAGAAATTCCCTAGAAATAAAATAGCACCTACTTGAAAGAAAACCATTTACCAAAAAAGTAAAAAAATTGTAACTTTTTTGTACGTGCAATTTTTTTGCTCCGAATTTAATAATACAATGTTATTTTTATTTTACACCCCCCAAAATGCCCCCATCATCAATTTTTATAAAGATACATTTTAGTCCACCGGCCCACGTACAAAGAAAAAAATTATTACCAGCAAGCTGTAACTTTGAGTGCAGCTTAAGTTTGACGAGTTTCCCAAGATCTGACTACGAGGAAAATTCAACAGTGGTAAGTTTTCCCATAATTTTCAGGAAAACATGTCAATCTGGCATAAACATGGAATGTTATGACCAGCACTTTTTTTTAAGTTTAAATGAGATATATATATTTTTAAACCCCCCAAAAAATTTGTCCGACAAAAATGTTGGCATTTTGAGTTTGTCCCCCATCCCAAATATGTCGATTTGGTGACATTATGGTTGGTGACAACCAGCAAACTGATTTTTCTGGGAGTGTTTGGTAATAAGATTTGAAATGAAAGTATCTTATTGTCCGACAAAATTCTTGACAAGTTTTTGCAGTCCGACGTCCTATAGATGTCAATTTAACGACATGGTTGGTTATAACCAGCTGTCGGATAAAAGCTTCGGTATTTAAAAAAAAGCAATATTAATCTGAGAATTTAATTGTCCGACAAAATTATAATTTTTTTTTGCTTGTCCGACAAAATTAAATGATAAAATTTTGCGGTTTCAATATTTACACATGATGTAGAAGAAAAATTTATAGTATTTAATAAAAAAAATATATGAATAAAAAAAAATTTGTTTAAATTTCAAAATAAATGTGACTAATTTTTTTATACAATTACAAAAAAGTTGCAATATCTGAACATTTAGAAATTTAATTAACACAAAATTGTTGCATTTCAATTGTACCTTATTAAGTGGATAATGCAGAATAATATTTTAAAACCGAATAGTAAATATTAAAAATTGTTAATTAATATGTTATAAAATTATTGATTAATTAATTTTTTTTACTTTTCACTTTTTTCTCTTGATTTATCATTTCCACAATTACACAAACAAAACACTCCATGATTTACGAAATTTTTACCACAAGGCACGCACGAGACTGTGAACCGTGTGCACGTACTTATAGGATATACGCAGAGTGCAGGCGAAATTCTTTTTCGTGTTAATGCATGCATCTATGTGGATTCCTTGAGAAAAGAAATAGAGAACGCACGGTGGATTCAAAATATTTTTAAAATTGGTTTTATTGGTTTTTCAAGAACAAAACTATGTGTAAACTGTTTGTCAAAACAAGACTGCAAATTTTAATTTAAAAAAACAAGCAAAAATTTATGCATTAATTTTACAGTTACCATTTTTTATAAAATAGTTTTGACAGTTTATAAAATAAAATGTACATATAAGTTTTTTAAACAAAGAAATCATTTTGATGGAGATTAATTAAATTAATTTTTATAGACATAATTATTTATGAATTTCTGTTGCTCCTGTTAACAAGATAATTTTCTTATTTATTCTTCTGTATTTTTTAATTAAAAAAATTATTATTTTATAAGGAAACAAACATTAGGTACCACAAAAATAGTTATTTTTCCCATTTTTAAGGTAAATTTTCCAATCTTTTTGGCGGACAAGTATATTATTGTGTTATACATTTCAATTATTATTAGAGAAAAAAATCAAAACCAGATTGCTGGTTATCACCAACCATGTTGTCGTTAAATCGACATCTTCGGGGCGTCAGACTGCAAAAACTTCTCAAGAATTTTGTCGGACAATAAGATACCTTCATTTCAAATCTTATTACCAAACCCTCCCAGAAAAATCAGCTTGCTGGTTGTCACCAATCTTAATGTCACCAAATCGACATATTTGGGGAGGGGGACAAACTCAAAATGCCAACATTTTTGTCGGACAAATTTTTTGGGGGGTTTAAAAAATATATATCTCATTTAAACTTAAAAAAAAAAGTGCTGGTCATAACATTCCATGTTTATGCCAGATTGACGTTTTCCTGAAAATCACGGGAAAACTTACCACTGTTGAATTTTCCTCGTAGTCAAATCTTGGGAGACTCATCAAACTTAAGCTACACGCAAAGTTACAGCTTGCTGGTAATCATTTTTTTCTTTGTACGTGAGCCCGTGGACTATTTCATCTAATTTATACAAGAAAAAAAAATGGCAGCCTTGGCTAAAGGAAAGGATATAAAATAATGTGTTATTGATAACAAAATACTGATTTTTAAAAACTGAAACCAAAAAAAATTGTAGCAGGAACAAAATTTGCAAGAGTTAAAGGTCATAAATATACAGGGTGTTACAAATTCGCTTCTCACTAGAGGGATCTCGAAAACGGTCGGTAAGAGATACGAACCAGCTTAAATGGGAGCAAAGTTGATTAATCAGGGGCCCAACATTATGCCTCTAAAAAATCAAGACTAACATGATTAGTTTTCGAAATATTTGAAAAAAGACGAAATTTTGGAAATCTGATCTCAAGTGCTCGAAATTCAAACAAATTCCAATCTAATTGTTTTCAGGATATTCATACCAATACATCTGTCATGCTTTTTTAGAGATATAATGTTGGTCCCCTGATTACGCATCTTTGCCCCCATTTAGCTAGTTCGTATCTCTTACCGTTTCTGAGACCCCTGTAGTGAGAAGCAAATTTGTAAGTCTTTATGTGAACTATTACGATCTATTTAAAAAAAAAACGTTTAAACTTTAGTTTTTCAATTAATATAAATATATTATAATTCGACAAAAGGCATATGACCCAAGCTATCTATTTTAAAAAATGCAGAAAATCAATGGTTAAATCAGTTATAAAAATTTGACATATACATTACCTAACTTTTTCCGCTAATTGTGTGGCAACCTCTTTTCGTACATCCTCTTTATCAGATATTAGAGAAGTGTAGTCCAATCCTAAGCAAAATGCTTTTGAATTTGATGTTATAGATACAATGTGACAATCTTTTTCCTTTGCAAATTTCTTCAAAGCAGTAGTTAATTCTTCCAGAACCTGGAACGAGAATCAATAAAATATATACAAATAGTTTTTAATTGAATTTATTACTTGGGCTGTACAATAGCAGTTTTCATCGACATAATTCAAGTCGATAGTAATGTGTTTATTTATTCTCTTGATAGTAAACGATTTATATGAAGATAATTTGTTTTCTACCAAAGCAGGTTTTTCTGGGGGGTCTTTCACTTCAGACAATTTTTGTGATTCTTCATTTGAATCGTTTTTCTTAATTTTTTTAATTTTAGGGGTTTCTGATGAAGTAAGTTTTTTCCTTGAAGTTTTTGAAATGTCACTCTCGACAACTTCATCACTACTAGAAATTGAACTGCTTGACCTTCTCCTAACCAACATGGAACTCTGACCGTGTGGGAAAGAATATGCCGGTGAGCCTGGAGGCGTGTGCAGTGAACTGCGAGTAGAATCTTTCGACATTTTCCTTTCTGTATTGTACGTAATTTGTGCTGGTTTAAGAGGAGATGGCGTAAAACTTTCTTTCTTCCTTAATGATTTTGGTGATTCGTTACTCGTATTTTGTTGTAAATCGCTTTTTATTTCATTGGCCTTTTTCATTATTTCTTTATGAGCTTTTTCTACAGAATACACATCCTTTTTCTTTTTTGGTACCGACTCCTCATTGTTTTTGAGATCGTAGAGCATTTTTACTGCCCCTTCATCCATAAGTAGTTTATCCACTTCTGATCGAAGCTTCTTGCTCTTTACAGGAGTTTTACCTTTTAAAACATCACTTTTCGAAATATCACCTTTTGATACATCACTTTTTAATACAATAACCTTTCTTTCATTTGGAGATGCTGTCCTTTTTTTGCTAGATATTTTCTCAATAGACTTTTTCTCCAGTTTTTCTTTTACTAGTTTTTCAGATACAGGTTTTTTTTCAGGAATCTGCTCCAAATTGGGAACTTTCTCGACAATTTTTGCAGTTTTAATTGCAACAGTTTTGGGTGACTGAACATCAGTTTTTGTTACAGATTTTGGGGATCTCGTTGGAGTTTCATCAGGATCCCAAATAACCTTTTTTTTTATTACTCTTGAACTTTTCGTTACGTAAACATTGGTAGGTGCTGGGGTATCTGGTTTTTCTAGTTTAATTTCACTTTCAGCAAGCATCGTCTTTTTTGGTAACGGAGAATCAATCAATGCGTCTGGTAACTCGATGGTCTTCCGTTTCCTGGAGTATGTTTTGAGTACCATATTGACTTTAACTTGTGGTTCGATTTCAATCGGTTGTTTTTTAGGAGAAGAGAGTATTTCAGCATTACTCTGATCTTTTTTAGGTGGTGAAGCAGATGGAACATCTTTGGGAACGGATTGTCTTACAGTTTCATTTTCCTTATCAGACAATACATTTGCAGGTTGGTCATCTTTCGCTTTCTGGTTTGAAATTGGTGATTGGTTTGCCCCATCATCAGATTTATTGGAACTTTTAGATTTTGATATTGAAGCTTCTGGAATAAGTACAGGAGCTTTTCCATCAGTTTTAATTTGACGACCTCTGTAAATCCTATGCTTAGGAGCTTGATGGGGTAACTCTTGCAACTGTTGTAAGGCAATTTCTCGCTCAAGCATCTTTAGGTTAGAATCGTCCACTTCAACAGGCAGTGGAACTTCTTTAGGTAAAACTGGCATTTCTTCGCCTTCGCCTTCTAAAATTGCTAAGAGATCGGAATCATTATGGATCTTTGAATTATCCTGGCTTTGACTGTTCTCGATTTCACTTCTATCTTCAGGAACTGTTTCAGTTTCTTTCCTTTGAATTTGAGCACTGCCTTCTTTTGATTTCCTAGTTTCAACGGGTTTTTTAGGAGGGTCCGGTGAAGGTGCTATTTTTCTGGCCAATCTTTGAGTTAATTTCCTTGCAAAAATAACATCAGCCCTAGAACTGACCTGTTCCTGTTTTAAACGTGCACGTTCCATAACTTCTTTCTCTATTTCAGCTTTCGATACAATCTGTGAAGTCAGATTACGATATGGCACTTTAACGCCAAGGCGAGGCTTTGGCAACGACCTTCCGTTAGGCACAGTTTCCATTGGTTTGGAAATATCGTGACCAAGAACGTGCATCGGTATATCATATGTTGGTTTTCGACCCCTTCTTGGTTTAATGTCCGAGGTCTGACTATTGACAGATTGACGTGACTCTGCCTCACTTCTTACTTCACTTAAATACATCTCATTTTGTTCGTCGGCAACTGTTTCCAATTGGCTATCTTCAGAATTTTCGTTATTTGAAAGTAAAACCCAAGTCTCTCCTGAATGACCAGACTCGTCTAACTGATTAGCTGTAATATCTAACGAACTTGGACCTTCCACAATGGTATATTCTCCGTCCTGAATTTCAGTTACTTCCATTCCTTCAGCAAGAGTATAACTTTCAACAGAGATACTTTCTGAAGAGACAGCAGGTTCATCGGGTATATCGACATTTTCTATAATTTCATCATTAGAGCAAATAACCTGGTCATGTGCTGAAGACTCATTTATCAAGTCATTTACATTACGGATTTCTTGTTCTTTATTTCTATCATCATCATCAATGTCTGTAAAATGTGTCTCTTGTTTAACGTTATACTCACACTTATCCTCACTATCTTTAGGAGGTTCTTCCATATTTTCACTTATATCACCTACTAACATTTCATTCTCATTCGCACTCATTAGGTTTTCTTGGCCCGACTTCTCATTCCTATCACTGTCAACTGTGTTTTGAGTTTCTACATCATCTACAAATTTAATGTTATCTTTCAAATTTAAATGTTTTGGAATATTTTTATCTGATTGATTTTCATCCTGATTTTCAGGTGCCGGTTCCAATTGAGGTCCGAGTTGAGGCCAATTTTCAGCATCTGCTTGATCTGCAGAATATTCGGATACTACACTTGTTTCACTTAATTTATGTTCATTTGATTCAGTTGAAACAATTACATTCTGTTGAATCACTTGATCAGGGACTTCATTCAACTGATTTTCATCCGATGAAACAGCTTCCGAATGAACTTGTCCCGATGAATCCAAATTTTCATCCTGTACATCAGATATATAGACACTGTCTGTGTTTTCTTCCAACACATACCGACTGACATACTCAGTTGACTGACCATCTTTTTCTTCATGCTGCGAGATTGATACATATTCTTCATATTTTTCTGTGACTGTAGTTGTTTCCGACACTGTTTCAGTTTGTGCTATTATCTCAGTGTTATCACTTTTATTTACTTCAAGGTCTCCAGCATTATTGTCTGTACTAACTTCATTACTATGAAAATCAACATTTTCTGAATTTGTTTCCAGATAGTTATTATGTGCTACTGCATTAGAAGGTTGTTCATCACTCAATTTAATATCTGTCAAAACATTACTTGAAGTTGGTTCAATATTTTCGGATATTATTTCAGGACTATTATCAACAACTTCAGTAGTACACGAATTGGGATTTGCTTCTTGATTAAAAACTACTGTTTCTGTAATAGTTTCTTTATTTGGATTCTCCATTATTACCTGCAATAAGTTACAGTTAAGAAATACTCATTAATTATCAACATGTTAACATAGCACCAAAAATATTTAGAATGTAAATAACAAATTATCAAAAATAGTTTTACTCATAACAAACGATAATTACCTCTAAAGTTATGTTTAGAAACCTTTTCCAAATTATAGTACGGTACTGTATGGATACATTCACTTTAATATGACTCGAAAATCCTCAAGTAACTATGAAAATTAAAGCATAGTTTTTAGATTTACACAAAATCAACGCCACTTACAGCCATAATATTTCTATAATACGCCATCGTCTCTTCGTTATCAATGGTCATACGATACGTCATCAATACCAATATTAAAAATATAAATCCCTAAAACGTTAGCCGATTTTCTGGATACAAGCAGTCTAACCTGTTTAACCTACTAGATAAACTGTATTCAAAAAATTGCTGTCTTCCTGGATGTCGCAAAGGCCTTCGATACGGTTTGGCATGAAGGCCTACTGTTGAAAATGCTCACCAACCAATATCCCATATCCTTTACCAAACTCATAAAATCCTACCTACACCACCGAAAATTCCGCATCCAAATCGTCCCATGGAGGCCGGTGTCCCCCAGGGCACCGTCCTGTCTCCACACCTATACACCATTTACAACTCCGACATCCCACATCCCCCCAACACCAACATATACTTATACGCCGACGACCTGACAATCACATCCCAATCCGTAGATCCTAGATATTCCGTCTCCCTCCTCCAAAACTCCTTAGACCAACTTGAAACCTGGTGCAACAGGTGGAAAGTCAAAATTAATCCCAACAAAAGTTCGGCTATCCTTTTTACCAAACGAAAAATCCCACAAAACCTCGACAGACTGACACTATCCCAGGAACCTATCTCCTGGAATCGACAAACACGATACCTGGGCGTGACGATGGACCAGCGTCTCACGTGGAAACCGCACATCGTGGAGACGGTGGCGCGAGCGAAGACCACCAGGGCTAGGCTCTATCCCTTACTCAAAGGTGGAAACACCCTCAGTTTAAGGAATAAGCGAACGCTTATCAAGGTGGTACTTCAACCGCAGCTAACCTACGCCTCCACGGCGTGGGGTCACGCGGCAAAAAGCCACTTAAAGTCATTACAGGCTGTGGAAAACATAGCCCTTCGCACGGCCACCGACGCGCCCTGGTACGTAAGAAACACTGACATATTACGAGACTTACAATACACAAACGCTACACAGACAATAAGACAAAACGCGGAGAAACGATTTGACGTAGCCGCTAGACATGACAATCCCCTCCTCAGGCAAGCCGTTGACTACGTACCCGACGTGACCGACAAACACAAAAGACCTAGACACCAACTTTTTGACCCTGGGTGACCACCCCAATGACCCCCCCCCCTGCCCGCTAACCTTTTCTGTTTCAGAGACAGCCAGGATCAAGAAACGAAGACAACGACACACACACACATACACACCCCCCATACCCTCCTTACCCCTCCCCTCCCGCGCTAGCCTAAGGGCCACCTTAGCAAAGCGCATCCCAGGCTGCATAGCCGCACTACCCTACCCAACCATACCACACATAAACATGACACTACCCCCGGGGTTTACACAGACGAGAGGCGAAGCAAGAAGAGCGCCAGAAGAAAGGGCCCTAGCCGGCGGGGCCCAGCCAGGACAAAAGGAGGTCCCACAAAGCGCCTACACCGGCCGCATTTGCGGTTGGGGTAGACGACGGATGGGGCCCACCTACGAAGGCTGTCCAGGCCTACACGAGATGAGGCAGGATAAAGAGGGATAATCCCCCTCGATCCCAAATCATTGAGGCCAATTTCTAGCCATAGAATAATGGCGTATTCAAAAAATGACATCGATATTTAGTTGAGTACAAAACATATATAAAAATAACGATGAGTAATCGAGGTATTTGTAATAGAACGGATTTTTTTCCATCATTTTCTTCATTTTATTAATAAGCACGATTGTGCGATAACTAGCACTGACCTATAAAGCTCAGTGGTGAAATTTATATTATGTAACATGTCTGTTTTTTGTTTTATTGTTGTTACTGGGCCTCTTAAAAGAGGTACTTTGTTATTTAAACTGCTATAATGTTGTAACAAAAGCAATAAATATAATAAATAATAACGACAAATGGTAATTTGTCAGATCTTACGGCATTAATAACAATATTCCCTACTCGCGGACGGCCCAAACCCGTTAAAGTAGGAAATCTTTGTATTAAATGGTGGCTATGTCCTTCAATATCTCCACCACTGATACTGGGCAGACATCTATACATTAGGGAAGGGCACGGATTTCTTAAAGTTTAATTTAAGAAATCCGTGGGGATGGGCAAAAATAACCGGTTAAATGAATAACCGATTTTTGTGTGTCGGTTAACTGGTCAAAAACCTGTTATTTCCCGAGTTCAGTTTAACCTGATAACCGATTATTTTTGTCAAAAACCCGGTGCCGGTTATTTTACCAAGACCGACCCCTATAGCTCACAGTACAGTATACGATTAAAGTACATATATTGTGCTCTAACGCTAAACTTGATAATAGATCAGACTTAAGCTATCGTCGGCCGGACATTCTATTTAGATTAAAATTTAAATCAAATACATGACTATATAATTCGGCCGGACATTTTATTTAGATTAAAATTAAAATCAGATACATGACTACATAATTTTTTCTATTAAAGAAATACAGAGATAAATTAGAGCACTTTTATTTATTAGAGATATATACAGGGTGTCGCGCCGCGTGTACGCGTACACTCTCCCACCCAAGTTGTCTTCGAAAAACCCTACGACTTTGATCAGTCGTCATCTCTTCATTAGAAAACGCCATTCGAAACGAATTGATTGACAATTCACTTATTATGAAACATCGAACATCGCTTACTGCGATAGTAGTAGTAGTAGTGAGTAGTTGTTGTACTTGATTAGTAGTGATAATGATTGTCTAAAATTGTAAAATATATGAATGCTACAAGATTTTACCAAGAGCACGAAAATCTCGAAAAAGTACTGATGCATCAATAAAAATAAAATGAATTAATTCCAGAGACCATGCAAATAAAAAGTTCTGGTAATTCTTGTAGCAATTAAGACACTCAAGAATTTAGCACTAGCCCAAGACAGATGGACGCGGTTGCTTAATCACACAAACACCAAACACGCGCCCCCCCACACCTACACCCTCCACAAGCGCCCTACAAAATACCCCAAAAAACACACAAAAACAGACAGACAAAACCAAACAAGTCCCCCCGGTAATCTTGCGAAAGCAAGAACGGTGGACGCAAGTACAAAAAATACTCACGACACTTAACATTAACTACACAAAAGCCAAATTGACTAAAGACGGTATAGCCATATACCCAAACACACCTAATGACCACAGACTATTGACAAAGACACTGACAGACAAAGGCGAGGAGTACCACACCTTCACCCTCAGCGAAGAAAAAACGCTGAGGGTGGTGATACGCGGAATACCTGCGGGTGTTTCGCCAAGTGAGGTCCAACTCGACCTCGCAAGACAAGGGTTCCCCGGCGCAATAGTGCACCGCATGGCGAGCCGTCAAAATAAACAGGAAATGCCCCTGGTCCTAGTTCAGGCCCCACAGGACCAGGAGGACATCCTGAAGGTAACCCGCTGCTGCTCGCTCGTGGTTCGAGTAGAGCTGCAGCGAAAGCAGCGGGTTGCCACACAGTGCCACCGGTGCCAGCGGTTCGGCCACGGCCAGACCCGGTGCACAGCTGAGCCAAAGTGCGTAAAATGTGGCGAAAACCACAGCACGCACGTATGCAAAAAGGCCAAAGACACGCCCGCCAGGTGTGCAAATTGCGCCGGGCCACACCCCGCCAGCTATATGGGGTGCCCTCAGTACCCCAAAGCTAAAAACACAAAAACACAAAACACAGACACACACACGACACAAAACACTACACAAACACACAGACAGCCCCTCCTACCCACCCCAAACACAACCCCAGGACGCACATACGCTGACATGACCAGAAAAACACAAAACACACAAAAACAAAAACACAACACCTCACCACACGCACACACAGACACGACACCCTCCCAACCGGGCGCGGCGGCCCTGATTGACGCAACAAAGCGTCTTCAGGACTTCTGCGTCCAGCTGACGACCATGGTGTCGAATATGCAAAAATTATTCGACTTCTAATGGCTCGTCGGCCCTCCCAACCCTCCTCGCTGAGAATTTCGTCCTGGAACCTTGACGGGTTCCGGGCCAAAAAAACGGAACTCGTGGACATCTTGAACCGTCTAAACATAGACGTTATGGCTGTCCAGGAGACCTACCTCAGCGAGGCATCCCGTACCTCCATCCCTGACTATGACATATACAGACATGACAGAAACCGTAACGGGGGTGGTGTTGCACTCATAGTAAAGAAGTGCATCGACCACTATCCGCTGCAGCGGCTCCAAACTCAAAACACAGAGGCCGTGGCGATAGCGGTGAGATCGCTACGGCATGGAGACGTTGCGGTGGTGTCCTGTTACCACCCACCCAGACTACCACTACTTGACAATGACTTAGACAAAATCCTTTCCTGGCCCCAGACAATTGCCATCGGGGACTTCAACGCGAAGTCCCCCATATGGCACAGCGGGACGACGACCACAAGAGGTCGCGTCCTGCTGAATTACCAAGACAGACACGACGACTTGACTATACTCGGACCGACAGAACCGACACATTACGGACCCGTAGGACGCCCCGACGTTATCGACATTGCCCTCTTAAAATCTATACCGTTAAATGCCCAAATATCCACCCAATACGAAGGGTCTTCCGCCCACAATCCAATATTTCTGGATCTGGGGCGAAGACAGAGATATGAAGGCACCTTCACGAGGAGGTTCACTGACTGGGAGCGTTTCCGAACAGTAATGCAAGGAAACATGGCGCTCCCAGTCATCGAAACCACCCATGATCTGGAGGCGGCAATCCTCTCCCTTGAGACTGACATTAAAAACGCCCTGACTCAGACTACGACGGAGACTATTGTCCCCCGACTGACAAACCCCCGGGGCACCCTCCCCGATGACATAAAAAACTTAATACGTGACAGACGACGTGCGAAACGGCTTGCCACCCGCACCCGCCTCCCCCGACACAGACATGACTTAAACGTACTTAACAGACGGGTGAAGGCGGCTCTGGATGAACTGGCCCAGGATAACTGGGCTAGGCACCTGGAGTCGCTGGATCCACAAGACAACAGCCTCTGGAAAACGCAG